AAATAGGAGAGAGAGAGAGAAATAGGAGAGAGAGAGAGAAATAGGAGAGAGAGTAGAGAAATAGGAAGGAGAAATAGGAGAGAGAGAGAGAAATAGGAGAGAGAGAGAGAAATAGGAGAAGAGAGGAGAGAAATAGGAGAGAGAGAGAGGAATAGGAGAGAGAAGAGAAATAGGAGAGAGAGAGAGAAATAGGAGAGAGAGAGAAAATAGGAGAGAGAGAGAGAAATAGGAGAGAGAGAGAAATAGGAGAGAGAGAGGAAATAGGAGAAGAGAGAGAGAAATAGGAGAGAGAGAGAAAATAGGAGAGAGAGAAGAAAGGAGAGAGGAGAGAATATGGAGAGAGAGCGAAATAGAGAGAGAGAGAGAGAAGTAGGAGAGAGAGAGAGAGAGAGAAGAATAGGAGAGAGAGAGAAATAGGAGAGAGAGAGAAATAGGAGAGAGAGAGAAAATAGGAGAGAGAGAGAGAAGATAGAGAGAGAGAGAGGAAATAGGAGAGAGAGAGAGAAATAGGAGAGAGAGAGAGAAATAGGAGAAGAGAGAGAATAGGAGAGAGAGAGAGAAATAAGAGAGAGAATAAATAAGAGAGAGAGATAAAAAGAGAGAGAGATAAATAAGAGAGAGAGATAAATAAGAGAGAGCGATAATGAGAGAGAATAAGAAGAAGATATTAAGTAGAGAGGATGAAGAATAAGAGGAGAGAGAACGAATAAAAGAGATAAATAAAGTAAGAGAAGAAAATAAAGAGAGAGAGAAAGTAAGCAGAGAGAGATAATAATAGAGAGGAGATAAATAAGAGAGAGAGATAGAGATAATAAGAGTACTTAAGAGAGAGAGAATAAATAAGAGAGAGAGATAAATAAGAGAGAATAAATAAGAGAGAAAATAATGAGAGAGAAATAAGAGAGAGAAATAAGAGAGAGAATAAGAGAGAGAGAGAAATAAGAGAGAGAGACGGAGTAAAAAGCGTGAGTGATAGTGTGTGAGAGAGAGAAGGAGAGATTGAATAATTAAGTGCTTGTCTGTACATTAATCATATTGTTATTCCATTCTTCCAGAAGGGTCGCCCGTCGGAGGCTTCTGCAACAGCTGCTGCCCACGCACCTCCCCCGTGCTCCTGTGGCTGGCACGTCCGTGACTCACCGTGGCCGCCGAAATGTGTCAGCAGAGGGGCGTAGGCCGGCTCCCGGCGCAGAGGCCGGGTGGAGAGGCTGCGTGGGGGCGCGCGGAGGAGGACACGGCGCGCGGAGGCGGCACGCGGCGCGTGCCGGCGGCGGCGACGGCGTCTGCGCGACAGCGGCGGGAGCTGCGGGGCGGGCGGCGGCGGCTGCACGAGCTGAACAAGCAGCAGCGGAAAGAGCAAGAGTCGAGGGCGAAGAAGTCAGCTGCGGCTGCGAAGCGGGCCGGCCGGGCGGGGGGGCGGCGGGCGGCGGCGGCGCGGCGGCGGGCCATGCCCCGCTCGGCGGCTCGCGGGGGGATCACGCGCGCATCGCCCCGGCGGCCGGGGGCGAGCGGGGCAGCCGGGGCCGGCGCGCTGGCGGCACTGCTGCTGCTGCTGCTGCTGCTGCTGTGGTGCAAGGGCGCGGCGTCAGCGCTCGTCGTGGCGCGCGGCGCAAAAGGGGACCAGCCACGCCGCCCTGGGGAACGCCCGTTCTGCGTGCGTGCGTGTGTGGAGGGTTATTGTAATTGCGGTCGTTTCTCCGCCACCTGCGCGGGTCATCTGACTGAATCCCGCGCGGTCAGTGACTCTGACGAGGGAAACGTCACAGGGCACGTCTCTAATGAGAGCAAGGGACGTGTTATGGTACTTCCGAAAACAAGTTAATTTCTTAATATTGCACTTTGACAGCAATCAGACAGTAGGGAACATACGCAATCTATATTTAATCCATACATTTATTTATATCTAAAATATTTTTTAAATTAACAATTAGGACCGTCTAGCACTGTTCTTCTTATTAACATATGGTAATTTTTACATAAACATTATATTTTTCTATTCGTAATTATTTTTCGTAACCACGCCATTGTGCCAACTACATTGTACAACTTATATAGGAATAAACTCTTCTCCTTCCCAACATTTGTCCACTCTATTTAATACATTATCGTCCTCCACATCACTCACTAAACCTCATAACAAATTAACCTCTCTTAAAATTGTCAGAAAATTACTAGCTTAATATGTCAACGTTGAAATTCTCAAAATCTTAGCTCTTTCACTAAAAGACTTGTTTCTCATTAACCCTTAACTCTAAACTTTTTATTAATTGTATATTAACAAATAGTATAAGTTAATGCTTTGACTAGGAAATAAACTATTAACTAGTGCTACAACAGCGCATAATTTTTCGCAATATCTCTAAATTACCTAATCTAGAAAATTTAGCATAAACGAAAATTAGATTGACGCCATTCTTTTAAGCGTCCCTTCTCCAATACGTGGAAAGTGTCGTTTCCGAAGAGTAGAACGGTTATATTATTTTAATAAAATTAAAGAATAGGAAAACCTCGTCATAAATGGCAATTTTCTTTGAAAAATTTGAAGCCATTTTGAATAAAAAGGCCTTTTTTCAGCCCCACTGTAAATTCGAAATTTGAAGCTCTTTTTCACAGAAAATGGTTGAGTTTTCGAGAAACTTTATGTGATAATATTTAAAGTACATGTGCTCATAAATAGTATAATGTGAAAAAATCGCCGCTAAAATAAATATTAATGATGTGAGAGACACCTAAAAAAATTACATTTTTGTAACTTAAAAAAACTAAAGCATAGAGAAATTTGACGTTTATGTCATCTCATTAAGTACATTTAGCACTATCCCTACCGAAAATTTACTGAAAAAATAATTAGAGTAGTTTTTGAGAAAATCTTGTTTATGTATTTTTTTTTAAATTGCAGGTATTGCACGCAATATTGTGCAAAAACTACTCAAAGTTTCAAAAAATGAACAAGACCGTAATGAAAGAACTAAATGTGGACAACAAATTTAATTTGAAAGAAAAACTATTATCTTCAACTTTATAGTTGTAGGAAGACGCCGATAACAACTCATACTCTTGAAATTTTTAAAAATTAACCGTGAAAATCATACAAATGCCACTTTTATATATCAATGTTTCTCTTTTCTTAAAACAGATTAAAAGAAAAAAATTGGCCCGTGACATATAGTAGAATTTTATAGTAAGATAAACATTATTATTATGACTAAATAATATAATATTGTTATAAAATATTATAAAAAATTATGAATTATATTACTTCAGTATGTTTAATTCGTGTACACATTAGCCATGATCTGACACTTATTTTGTATAATTTTCTGCATGTTGTTTCAATGCTACCTCCTAGAATGTTAGAAGGCTTAAGAGGAAAAAATACTTTCCGACGATGTAAATAATATTGAAGTAAAACCATTATCAATCAAATAAAGAAGTATCATCACTATCAATCATTACTACAATTATTGTTAATATTTAAAATTATTATCATTCTCCATGTGTCACGTGAACTTCAGACCCACTGCTCCACGACAATCGCGTTCTGAGAAGACGAATCTCAGCTGCGCCTAAACCTTAGGGATATGCAACCAGCTGTACGCTTGTGTACTGCACGTCCCGGCATTGCAGCTCCCTGTTACGTTTCCGACCGGCGGAGAGAATATCTGATTTCCCTCAGAAATTAACTCACGTCATCGCAGCGGACGGCCAAGCCTCGCAAACTGGTAACTACGCTGTAGTCATAGATTTATTCGTTGCCAACTTGTGGAGCTGGAAAAACGGATATGAGAGATTCATGCAGTTCGTGTTCTCTTGGAAAAAGTCAAAATGCCCGTTAAATAAAGTTTTGGCCGATATAGTATGCCTCATATATTAATATTTAGTATTCTACCGTAGAGTATATTAACATTCTTGGAAAGAGAAAGGCTTATTGGAGTTAGCGTGCTTTGAATAATTCAAAATTGTTGATATCAATTAGAATTTGAGAAAGTTGAAACTTGTACTTTTGTGTTCACTTGAAATTTGATTTCTCTCCTTCCTGGTTTGCATTGTATTTTTGGCACTTTGTCTATAAAATACATAGCAATTTCGGGAAATTTTAAAGAATCAAACGAATTCTAAAGCAACCATGTAATTGCAAATTATGAATCGTATATATTTCATTTGAGGAGGAATTCTTTGAAAAAATGAGCAATTATTCGTCAATATATTGCACTTTTCTATAAAGCTTTCTTAATTTGATAAACAGATCTACTTGTCGACACGCTATTCCAACAGGCGCCCGAATATTTCATATTTGCTTTGTTTTATTCACACGAAAATCATAATTATTATTAAAACCAATACTTATCCGCAGGATGTAAAGACGTAATTTCATGCATACAGAAAGTCGGAGTACTTCGTATAGTTCAGCTCATAATAATAAAGAAATGCAGGAGCTATAATAGCTTTGGGAAAGAAAAGAAACCGTATTAGGGGGAAATAAATAACAAAATAAAAGGATTTAGTAAGAAGAATTCGGAAAGCCGAGGCAATTGAGGAAGAAGCAATAATGAAGCGAAAAAATAAAAATGAATACAAAGGGATCAGCACTTGTTCAAAACAACATAAAGCCTTCCGAGGAAGAAAAAAAAGGGGCAAGGAGATTACATGAAAACAAGCGGCATCCGTCGGGAAACCCCCACCGAGATTGGGAAAGAAATGGAGTGGACGTTCGGTGACGGAGGACACGATGACATACAGCCGGCAGCGCGTCGAACCACGCAAAAAAGCGTGGGCGGCGCGAATCAATACTCTATTTCCTTATGCACACACGGCGCACCCGCTGCACGGAGTAAAGCCTCTCCCCCCTCCCTCC